GACGTAGGGCTGTAGTTGTCAAGGTCAAACACTAACGTCACGTACTGTAATTCCTAAAAACCCTCTACCGCGACACCCTGGGTAGATTTCGATTAAATGCTACCGGGACCTCATGGTTATCTTCTACGGGACTAACGGCTACAGTGCCGTGCTTTACCGTGACTTCCCAAACCCCCCGTACGGGGAGTCTTTTCTTTAAAAAACGTCCAAGAATCGGACATTACGACAGACCACGTAAGAGGATCTGACTTATATTCTACTTGATGGTGTTATAAATATAACATGTTAAAGTTAAAATAAGAAGAAATGAACCAAACAAACAAGAACAAACACAAAACGAGCGAACCGTACGGGACTGTGTCGGATATTCTTTATGAATTCAACAACCAGTTCTGTGAAAGGTAGCTACCTCCGTTTACGGGAGGGGTCTACATTTTATTCATTCTTTTGTAATGTAAGTCAACATTGACGTTTTTTGTTCTGAATGAAATGTGATAATCCGGGTGACAATTTTTTCAAACATTACAATGAGATGACATTTCAACAGCTTAATTTACGAAGGAGTCTGATTTCGTAAAACCTCATAAGCCAGATTTTATTTTTACAAACGTATGATTTTACTGTGAAGTCCTGATCACTCCCTAATGTTCGTACTGTTTTTATTTTATCTTTGTGTAAAAGAAGGAAATTCGGACAGACAAACTTAAGATGTAGAAGTACTATGTCTTGAAAAACACTTTAAATGTTTGCTGCCAAATGTCAATAAAAGAATATATGTTTGGACGAGCCTTCATGTCTAACAGTGATCCTGGTGTGTTCAGGTGATCGTGAGCCCCTCCAGTAACCGCCTCCAGCTGCTGGAGCCCTTCGACAGGTGGCACGGAAAAGACATGGAGGAAATGAGGGTCCTCATCAAGGTGAGCAGCGAAGAAAAGAGAAACTCCACAGAACTATAAGTGCTGGTGTGTGATGGGAATACACATTGTTTAATTTGTACGTCTTTTCTGATCCTCTATATGTTATTTTGTATATATTGATTGTTGTGCTTTTATTTATGTCTTAATGTGTGCATATTTATAAATGCGTCTGTTGATTGTGTCACATAGGATATACATATTTGTATTTTCGTATTCGGGATTGTGGGAAACGGTATTTTCGATCTCTGTGTCTGTACACACAAACTGAAAGATTGACAATAAAGTTGACTTTGACTTCTGTCCCTCTAGGTGAAGGGAAAGTGCACCACGGACCACATCAGTGCCGCCGGGCCCTGGCTGAAGTTCCGCGGCCATCTGGACAACATCTCCAACAACATGCTGATCGGAGCCGTCAACATCGACAACGAGGCCATCAACAAGGTGAAGAACCTGCTGACGGGAGAGTTCGCAGGAGTGCCCGACGTGGCCCGCCACTACAAGGTGAGTCTGGACCCTTTCCACTGTTGATGATATGTTTTACCTTTTTATACTTTAATAATAATAGATTACATTTATATAGCGCCTTTCAAGGGACCCAAGGCTGCTTTACATGGTGAACAAACAAACAAACAAACAAACAAACAAACAAACAAACAAACAAAAGGGGCAAATAATAAAGTAAACATTTAATAAATAGCAGTAGGATTGGAAGCAGGGGGACTGTGATGGGTTAGGGTCCACGTGTCAAACTCAAGGCCCGGGGGCCAAATCAGGCCCTTGGTGGATTTAATTTCGGCCCGCAGGATAATTTCTAATTCCTATTAGATCTGGCCCGCCGGTATATTGCACACACACCTTCACTCCATCCTGAGGGTCTCCTCAGCTCAGAGCCTGAGCCCAAACATTGATGAACTTGCACCCAAGATGAAATGCCAAGTATCTGAACTAGCATCACAGAGCAGCACACTGAGTTTAATGGATGTTTCCTTCTGCACTTTTTCTCTCACGACAACAGGGCATGTTTGGTTTCTTCTTTGAGGGAAATAGTTTTGTTGAAGCTGTTGTTGGCCTGTGGGAAAATGTAATCATAAGAAATGACTCTGGAGAAGCTGCAGATAGAGCCATAAGAAATGAATGCAGCTGATTATTTAATGTTTAATGTTGTTTTTATAGGCAATAATTGAAGCTTTGTTAGTTCCAGGTTTAATATGTGCAATAAGTTCATTTCAATAAGTTCTGCAATAAACATTGAACCAGTCCGGCCCTCGAGTAGCACCCATTTAATTTTGGCCCACTGTGTATTTGAGTTTGACACCCCTGGGTTAGGGGTTTACATGTAAATGTTTTAGAGGGTGATTCAACATCCTTTTGCCCTAAAGACCGGCCTATTCTCCCTCTTATTACAACTATTAAATCAATCAATGATTTGACACAACATATTGATTTATCGATCCCGAGTCCCCTTTGTTAACATCTTGAGTGTCCTTTATACTTAACCCCAAAAATGTCTACCATAGTGAGGTGTATGCTAGTTGCTTTGGATAAAAGTGTCTCTCTTTAAATCAAAATTCGACAAGAAACGGACCATAAGAACCGTAGAAAGGCCCACTTTATTGCATTGTTACTGCTTTGTTTTAGTGTACCCGATGAACCTAACTGAAGGTGGATTGTGTAGCATGCTGTATGCTAGTGCTAGTTGCATACCTTCTGAGGAACCCATTTCCCAGTTTCCTCCATGGGACTTCTTTGTCTTCTCTACCCTGGTCCCAACAGCGCTTCAACTACTTCCTTTTCTTTGTTAAAGGCCAATGGAGTGAACTGGGTGGTGGTTGGAGACGATAACTACGGAGAGGGATCCAGCAGAGAGCACGCCGCCCTGGAGCCTCGACACCTGGGAGGACGCGCCATCATCGTCAAGAGCTTCGCCAGAATCCACGGTCCGTTTACCGCCACAGATGGAAAACAATCTATCTGTCTTTATTCCACTTTCACTCAAACCATTCATTTAACTAATCCCTGTCGAAGGGAGGCAGTGTCTCAATGAGTGTTATGGTTTCAGAACAAACTATTTACTGGCATGTTTACAGTCTGTGAGAAAAAGGATGTCTCCTAAGAGAGTCTCCGAGTAATAACTAGTGTCCATTAGAGCCAGTTTGTTACAGGAGGCTTCATGTTGAAAGCCTGCAATCATTCGTTTGAAAACATTTCATTAGAACCAGAAAGACACAAAAGAAATGCTGTTGATTACTCGGTACTCGGTCTTGGCAAAAAACGGCATGCATTCTGTGTGAATAGCGTATTCATGTTGAGAAGCGCTAATCAATAACCACCTGCCACACACACTCGCATGCATTATTCTCCATGACCTTGTATATCTCTGTAATCGATATTCTCCTGACACACAAGGAGCTCTTCTCTGGTTACCTGACGTCCAGTATGACGCTGTTGGGTTTCATGTTTCCATCTTTCCTCTCCTCCTCTCAGAGACCAACCTGAAGAAACAGGGCCTCCTTCCTCTGACGTTTGCCGACCCCAAAGACTACGACAAGATCCGCCCCGACGACAAGATCTCAATCACTGGACTGAAGACCTTCGCTCCCGGCAAGGTGAGCAGTCTGACAACGAAATGTCGATCCACAGGACAGCTGACCTTCTCTTAAAGGAGACATATTAGCTAGCTAGTTATCAGGACCGTACATTTAGGTTAATCATTTTGGGTTTTCTACTATTACATGTTCACTTTCTTAATGGTCTAAAAGCATTTATTTTATGATTCTTTATTTACCGTCTGTCTCAGTAGCCCCATTCCTCACTTTCATTCCTACATGTAGCTTATAAACACATGCATTTTGTTTAATATAGTTTTCTTTTTTTATGAGATTTAACATTCACAAAATGTGGCATCAGTAAAGTATATCTAATCTTATCTCATAAAACCTTTACAGCAAAATATAGAAAGATATATATATATATATATATTGTGATATACATTTCGTTTCCCCGACCCAACCCCTAATTATGGGAAGTGTAAATTGTATTAAAGTGTTTTTGTGCTAACACAGTATTTTTACAGCACCTACACCTACTTTATGATCACAGAGACAGGACATTTTCCTTTTGTAATGACTGTATCTTTGTGAAAAACACGATAAATGATTGTTCCCTCCTCTGCCCCCCCCCCTCCCAGCCCGTGACAGCAGTGATCAAACACAGCAACGGCAGCCAGGAGTCAATCACTCTGAACCACACCTTCAACACGAATCAGATCGAGTGGTTCCAGGCCGGCTCCGCCCTCAACAGGATGAAGGAGCTCCAGTAATTGATGAAGACGAGGGAAGGAGGGGCCAGTAGGGGTCCAATGAGGGGCCTTGGCTGGGGTTAAGAAGGGGAGAAACGTGGGCCTAGAGACGATGGATGATAACCAGACTTTAGTTGGTTTAGGGAAAACTGTAGTGATGCTCAATTAAAGAAAACACACACACACGCAAGGTCGCTGTACAGACGAGAAGCGCACACACGCACACGAGCACGTACAGTTCACGCACAGCCAGGATTAATGCTATTGCACTCCCCGGCGACAGAACCACAGCTTAGATCCTGAAACAGGCAGCATCACTCATACAGACAGCACTCCTATAATAATAATAATAATAATAATAATAATCGGATATAACACGCCATTTATTTTCATACTTTAGTGAAAATACAGTCTGTTTGAAGCATTAACATAAAGAACACCGTTACCTTTTGTCTGGAGTATACAAACCTGATCTAGATGCAGAATATTATATTAAAAAAAGATGTTAGCAGACGAGTTGAAAGCTTCCTGCTTTAATATCTACTGTAAAATCCACTCTAAAATGTAAAAGTTCTCCATCACACATCCTTTAAAGTGTTTGTCTTGATCATTTCCATCCAAATGTCTCTCAAATCGAAGTTATTTAAGGCCTATGATTGTACTTTTCCTTTAACATCATCCCTATTTATTATAACATTGCACCAAATGTACGTGAAATCCATTCGTTTTCAGTCATTGTTCGTCTTTGTTTGGCTGCTAGGTTCCCCCTCATGGACCTGTTGTAGCTGAGAGCCACACTGTAGACAAACTACCAGGCAAAAGGATTTACTGTAGAAGCATTATTGATATCCCATGCTGCACTGTTACGGTACAACTACAGCCATCCTCTCTCACGTCCTTTTTCATGCTTAATCTCGCCCAGATTTTTGCTCCCTGCTGCTCGTCCAACGCTCGCTTGCTCTTTGCTAAATCTGTCATGTGATAAAACCTCCCATTGAGTGAAAACTTGGGACTGGAACCACAGCACATACAGCCATTGTTAGTGACAGACGCTCCGATTTGACTTCTTTCCAGCTGTGTTTTGTCCTTTGTGTGTAAACCTTTTCTTTGGTGGTTAACATCAGTCTGTGATCGCTTCCCTCTTTGCTCACCCTGTCTCTTGTTGCTCTCACTTAGGCGTGTCAATGCAGACCAAACCTCAACCTGACACTCGCACTTCTACTGGCTAGCGCTCCAACACATTGTACGTGATAGGCTAAGGGGCGGGACATCTCTAAGCGGTTGACCAATCACAACAGAGCCGGCCAGCTGACCAATCATCTGAATGTTTTCTCATGTTGAGGTTTGGTTCTCCATAGCATGAGATAGCCCGCTGTCCTTTTACACAAACTAACGCTCAACCTCGTGTCCAGACGCCTGTACACCAGCACTCTGTAGGGAGAGTGGTTTTAGGACTACTTTGCCAAGCTTTTTATCCACTGCAAACATTTACATCTTCAGCGCACATCTCTGTTGTGTTAGTAATAATCACGATACATCTTCACAGTAAAATCACTGGATGAATCTTTACAGTTCCTGAGCTAAATCCCTATGTACTAAAGAAAGTTTGGACCCGTGTGTAAATGATGTGATATATATAGCTGCACTTTGTATAGGGGCGTGTACATAAATAATGAAATAGATAAATATATATATAAACAAAGAGAGTGAGAAACATGCTGTGGGCTGCCTGTCTAAATGAGTTAAATCTAATATGTCATGATGTAGAGTCCCCTCTGTGGCCCTCAATAAACTGAATATACATGCATTTAATGGGTTAACAAAACAATTTGCATTGTGGGTAAATTAAAGCACAGATATTGGATTGTAGATGTCGCCTTCAACAGTGATTAGGGACTTTTAGGAAGGGGACTTTTTTAGATTTTTAGCTTTGTTCAAATCGTTTTTAGGGAAGAAGGTGATTTGAAAGAGCGGACACCCAACGTTTAAGACGTTTTGGACGTTAATGGGTTTAGCTGTTCATATATTCAACTGGAAATCATACACACTCCTTGCCACTGTATTCAGATTCACTGCCAAAGATGCCTAATGAATATGTTGAAGTATCCATGAGTCACCCATTATTATGTGATCTGTGAAAATGCCCCTCATTATTTGAATATGTACAGGGAGTTGTTTCCTACAGAATTCACCACGATCAATGTCTTTTTCAAATATCATCTGGCAAAAATATTGATTAATCTGATCATCCTTTGCACATTTAAAACCAGCCGCTTGTGAATCACAGTTTGCTAATGTAACCCTGAGTTTTTAAAAGTGCTACTGTAAAGTGACAAATCAAATTACGTTGTTAACAAAACGCATGTCTGTGGTGTAATTTTGTACTCGGGCGTCAAGCTTCCTCTGGTGTGTTTGAAATATCCTTCACATCATGCTTCATGTGTTCAGAAACAGCTAAATAAATATGGAATATATGAACCGATGTTTTTTCCCGTAGTGATGATTCCCCTCACACTCCGGTTTCAGCATTACATTCTTTGTAAAAGTAGATTGTTCAATCGTCTGCGGTTTTATTGCTTGAGAGATTAAAAACTGTCTTCACAAAATGACTGGTAAATTAATAAAAATGAAATTATGAAGTGAATGTTTTTGTGATTTATTTTCTTAGTGTAAGATATCAGAGAAACGATCATTTGATTGTTAGTGTCACAGTGACGTCCTGATCAAATCGGTACACAGTGTTTACATACTTTCCCTCATTCATATATAATCTGATTTTATATACCTTCAAATTCCGATAGATACTCGGTGCTAGTATTTACTGTGAATTGTAGTGTTCACAGAAGTATGTGCGTTGTGCTTTAAAAGTATTAGGCTATTAATCTAATAAGCTTTTAATTCAAGTAATTCAGATCAACAACAAAAAAAATAGCATTTGTTTATTCACCGTTTACCAGAGGTGGTAGAAGTACTCAAATCTTGTTTGAGTAAAAGTAGAAGTACCAGAGTGTAGCAATACTCTGTTACAGTAAAAGTCCTGCAATCAAAATGTTACTCAAGTAGAAAAGTATTAGCATTTAAATGTACTTAAAGTACCAAAAAGTAGTCATGCAGATTGGTCCATTTCAGAATAATATATATGATATGTTTTATAATGATTGATCATTAAAGTGTTCTCAAAGCTGGTAAAGGTGCAGCTAGTTTGAATGACTTTGCATACTGCAGGGTAGCTTGTGAATTTACTCCAGGTGGAACTAAAGTCTGATTTAACACTTGATTATATTCGTTAATCCAAAGAGAGCCGTGTGGCGCAGTGGGCAGTGCGTTGGTGTTCGGATCAGGGGAGCACAGGTTCCAAACCCCACTGCAGTCAGCATGTCGTTGTGTCCTTGGGCAAGACACTTCACCCCAAATTGCTCCTGTGGGGATTGCCCACAGTATTGAGTATGTAAATCGCTTTGGATAAAAGCGTCTAACAAGTGACATGTAATGTAATGTTATGTATTAAATAAAGCTAGTGGAGTAAAATTACACGATTTACCTCTGAATTGTAGTGGAGTAGAAGTAAAAAGTAGTATAAAATGTAAAGTACAGTACTTGAGTAAATCTACTTTGTTACTTCCCTTTAAAAAATAACATATTTCTCATTTCTATGGACATGTGTGGAAACCAAATAGCCAAGTAGGTTAAAGAATAAGAGAAATATCAACATCAAAACAGAGCTGAAAAATTGTGTTCTGTACCTTTAAGTTTTGCGACATGTCGTAAAACCTCACTGTCCTAAATACTCACATGGAGACATCATGGATACTGTTGAGTTTTCTCTAGATTATTCTACTTTAAATTGTTTTTTTTGGCATATCGTGGAAACTTCTTGACCCTTTTTTCCCTTCTTCGGGGTGGAAAAAATAGACGCTTTCCTGAAAATAAGCGACACTGAATCGCTCCGGGTGTTTCACTACCGGTGTGTGTGTATGTGTTTGTGTGTGTAACAGTGTATCATGTTCGTGTTGGTGGAGATGGTGGACACTGTCAGGATCCCTCCGTGGAACTTCCAGAGACAACTGAACGAGGCCATAGCCGAGGAGCTCAACAAGAAACTGGCCAACAAGGTGTGTGTGTGTGTGTGTGTGTGTGTGTGTTTCTCTGTGTGTGTGTTTGTCTCTCTGTGTGTGTCTGTGTGTGTGTGTGTATGTCTCTGTGTGTCTGAGAGACATTTGAGCAACTCTTGACACAACATGTTAAAGCAACGTAAATACAAGTCAAGCTTATTGTATTACCTTTACTGTATGTAGTCTTTTTTTGAAGCAGGAGAAATACAATACAGAAAAAATAATCACATTAGTAAAACAGCAATAACAACAATACCACCCCTCTATAAATAAGCTCTCAAATTAAAAGTTCAAAATCATCCTTTGAGATGATACTTTCAGGTTTATAAATTATTTGTTATACACTATACTGAGGTAAACATACTCATATATAACAAAAAATAATGATTCTATTGAATTATATTGCCTTTTCTGTCCTGTATCTTCCACTATGGTGAAACTTCAAAAAGCATCACCTGCTCTAACTAACATATTTAAATATTTTTAAAGCAAAGGACACAAATGCATTTCAGTGATTTGAGCAAATATGAGTTAGGGTTTTGATGCTTCTTTCAGTTAAAGTCAAATCAGTTTTGCTCTTGTATTCCAATTTTTGGTACACAATCGAGCCCAAGCACTTGCGGAATATCATAATTTCCTCATATCTGATCATTGTGACCCGCCCTCCTCTCAGGTGGTCTTCAACGTGGGCCTCTGCATCTGCCTGTACGACATCACCAAACTGGACGACTCCTATATCTTCCCCGGAGACGGAGCCTCACACACCATAGGTACAAAGATTCACTCACTTGCATCAGGCCATGTTCATTCCAATCAAGATTCCATTTCAAGTCACAGGCTCCTCCAACAGTGCAACATGAATATATATATATAGGACATAAAACAGTATGTATTGTGTTTATACTGCTGCATTACATTTGAGATACATCGCAACATAAATATGACTTCCTGACAAAGCACTTCCACTCAGTTTTAATCAGATTATTTATGATACATTTGGTCTCACAGTTTCCTGTTTAACTTTCTTATCCAATAATAAAACACTTGACAGCTGAGTGATAGAGGCTAGTCTCCAGCTAAACTTAGTTACTGCAACTTTTGTACGATCTTAAGTATGGTTAAAGGGAGGGTTGATGGACTCTGAACCCATTCACTTTACTCCCACTTACTGACTCCCTCCCATCTCCCTTTGCTTTTTCTCTCAGTTCATTTCAGGTACGTTGTTTTCCACCCTTTCCTCGATGAGATCCTACTCGGCAAGATCAAGTATTGCAGTCAAGAAGGAGTTCATGGTAAGTTCTGTCTCTCCATCTCGGCATGTTTTACTACATCTCAGATATACATTCTCTAATGTACTCTCAAGGTGATGCATTTAATACCATATTCCACCAACAGTCCAAATTCATTCATTTAATGGTTTTGTGTAATTACAAGCACATGACTTCTGCATGTCTTATCAAAAGAACTAGTCAAACTTCACCTCACAGTCTCACAGAAAACATGAACAACAGTCGGCCTAAAGGCTCACATGTCTCTGCTTTTCACACGAACCACACGACACATAAGTACCACTGTAAACTCTGACTCTGTTCCCTCTCTGCTTCACAGTGACCTTGGGCTTCTTTGACGACATCCTCATTCCTCCAGAGTCTCTTCAGCAGCCCGCCAAATTGTATCCTGCCTGAAAATGTGACTAGAATTAAACAAAGTGCTGTGATTTCATCTCAAGAACACACAGGTGTATCAAGGGATGTGGGATAATATGCAGCACGCCAGTCATTTAATAGTAGTGTTTACTTCCTGTCTTTCTTCTTCTGCTGTTCTCTTAAGTGTTTATTTCCTGTCCGTCTTCTTCTGTTGATTTCTCTAAAGTCCAGCTACATGAGTCCTTCTCTGGTTTTCCTGTTCTTCTTCTCTTCTCTTTTCTGGTAACAGTTTAGCCATCATGAATCCAAATGTTTCTGCTGTCCACGAATATGAAAACTGATTCTAATTTTCTGATGTTTTCTGATTGTTTTCTGATAGAACATTAGAATAATAATTTGTTATTTTTTTAAGCCACCACTGATGTTAAATTATCCAGACTTCTGCGTATCATATGACCGCCCTTGATCAGAGCATCCTTATGCAATCTGCTATCAAGAAATAACACTGCTGACTGTCCAAAGTGGCCAATCAGAATCGAGTATTTAACTACGGCGCGTAATACATTTGTAAAATGTTCTGATGTGGAGTTGCCTGTAGTTCCAGTCCTTATCTTCAGCCTCAGTGATGAAGCGGAGCAGGTCTGGCTCTGGGAGTACGAGACGGACGAGGGGGCCCACGACCTCTACATGGACCAGGGCGAGGACATCCGTTTCAGGGTGACAGATGAGATGTTTGTGGACACGTCGCCGACGGGCCCGTCCGCCGCAGAAACACCGGTAATACCCGGACAGCCTGTGGCGCCGCCAGCTGAGGAGGTGGAGAAGAAAGAGGCGCCGTACACTCTGATCGTAAGAACACACCTCATGTTCACACACACACACACACACACACACGCACACACACACACACACACATACATATATAGTGTATATATATACACACACACACACACACACACACACACACACACACACACACACACACCAGGAGATCTGCTTTAATAAAAACAGGGAGATGATAAGAGTGAAAATCAATAGATATTTGAGCTGTCTCTTTGTTGATTTGGGCTATGTATATGAGTAACTCTCTACACACTTATTTACAGGGTTTGTTTAACTGGTTTAGAGTCCCTATTAGAAACAGTATTTAGTATTAAAAACCAGGGCACTATAACACAATGGCCCCACAGTTATAAGTTATATAAACAGCCTTTTAGATACTCTTTTATTGGACAATTTAAATTCTTATGTTTATATGAATATCTTGTTCTGTATTTTTATTGCACATTTTGAACGTTAACTTCTTATGCTTATATAAATATTTTATTTAATGAAATGTATCTTTTTATTTAACATTTTTACTTCTTATGTTTAGATAAATATGTGTATTATATGTTATTGCATCTTCAATAGGACATTTTACTTTAACTTCTTATGTTTATATCAATATTTGTATTTATTGCACAATTTAAATGTTCATGGTTGTATGAATATTCTCTTTCTATTTTTATTTTAGCGTTTATTGGACATTTAAATCGTATGTTTATGTAAATATTTATATTCCATTGTTTTGGTTTTTATAATTAATTTAATTCTGAAATGTTACAACTGTTATGAAACCCAATTCGCCCCTTGGATAAATAGAGTATTCTGATTCTGACCCATTGTGCTGTTGTTCCAGGGGACCATCTGTGACCCGGGGCTGGGGCTGCTGTCCTGGTGGAACAGCTAGCACTGAGGAAGAGGAAGAGGACGAGGAGGAAGATTTGGTGTTTTACGAACAGATCGAACATCATAACTGACCGAACAGACGAGGAGAGGCGAGCTGGGGACACGATACCCAGGAGTCTGGGTACAGAAGTAAAGACACGAAGTCAGACGCTCTGAACCGAGACACTGTTGGTGTGAAGAGACTGAAGTCCCTCTGAGACAGACTGTGTTGTAAATACTGCCCTGAACACACCAGCCCCATGTTTACACATCAACCTGACCGTAGATCTAAAAACACAATGATTTCACATGCGTTTACAGTCTTTCTGGTACATTTAAAGTGAGACCCTGACCCTAAATTCAAACGAAAAGTCATTTGTTATCAGGATTATAATGTCCTCAGTACGTACTCACATATTCTGACTTTAAGGGTTGAAGCAGGTGACGTTGAGCACTTAACAGCATGTCAGGGAGGATAAAGGTGTGAGAATGTACAGAAACAAGCTGAGTGATGGTTGGGTTGGTAGGGAAAAGCCCCAGAAGACAATTTATTATTCCTTTGTATCAAGATCACAAAAAAAATGTCAATAATACAAATGTTTTTCTTGGTGGGAGTTAACATAAAAAGATGAAAATATTTTCTTTTTATTTAAAATGTCACCTTTTTTAATCCTCCGTTTATTTAACAGCCTTGTGATATCTTGTGTGTTTCATTTTCACAGTAAAAGGACGTATCATCAGAGTGAGTGCTTGTGATTTGTCATTTTGTGTGATTATAGGAAGAGGAATAACTAATACGGATTAGCGGCCAGCCTTTTAAATCCCACAATTTGGAGGTCAGTGAAGGCCACAGCGCTGCTGGTTTATAACAGATCTCTGAACGCTGGTCAGTCTCAGTAGAGACACTCTCACACACACACACACACACACACACACACACACACACACACACACACACACACACACACACACACACACACACACACACACACACACTGGTGTTTGTTGTACAATCAGAAATGAATGAGCTGTGTTTCATGTGACGACTGTGTAGCCCCTAGATGTTTGTCTCATTTGTCTTCAGTGAAAATAGGTCAGACTGTTTCGAGTTTATACGAAAGAAAAACTCATAAATAAGTTTGCATGTGAACCTCATTACAGAAATATCGTTTACAGAGAGTTAAGTTTAAGGGATTAAATATTTGACTATGAAAATAACTAACTGAAGATCTTAGCTTATCTTAGACATTGAAATTGTTTCTGGATTTGTTTTAGAAAACTCAAAGAAGTGTTCACATGTTTTACCTAAATATTCTGCTCATTTTCAGGTTCATATCAGTATGTAGTGTCTCTACTGTGTCATGTCTCCTTCCTTTAATGTTCAAAAAGCTCTTTTCACCCTCTGTCTGAAACCAGAGCCCAGTACAAGGCTTACAGAGTGATGTCACTATGTTACTGAAGTAAACAAAGGAGTCCAATTGAGGTGTTTCCGGCAGGGGGGGGAGGAGTGTGTGGCAGATAAACTCCCTCTGGAGGGAACACAGGGATTTTAGCTTTTGCAGACCATTAACATGCACTAAAACCTGTAACACACTACAGGAGAGGAAACGATTCGTTTTGTCCTGGGAGGTATTTTTATCCTTTATTGTACATCATAATTCATTTGTTGATTTATATTTGTTAAGAATATGAACCTACAAAGTATACAAATGGGAGTGTTTGCTTTCAAAATGTAGTGGAGTAGCATCAAATGGAGTTAAAGTGTCTTTAAAACGTAATTTTTCTTGAATAAATGTAGTTAGTCACTTACACCACTGTTTTTGATTGACATATCTCCACTAATGCAATTTCAAATGTGTTGGATTAGTGGAGTTTGTCCTCAATATAAACACTATTATAAATCCGTTGTAATAAAGCAGCACCACAGCAGCTGCATAAAGAGTGCAATACGATAAATCAAGGCAAGATATCCTTACACTGAGCATACTGTTCCCATAATAGATTACATACATTCAAAGGAATGAAGAAAGCAAAACACACACACACTCTCTCACTCACTCACAAACGCAGTCGCATCACGCCATCGGAATCTCCGCCAGCTGCGCAGACTCAGCAGCTCTTCGTCACATCCTCACCATCATCAGGGTTCTCCGACAGACTGCGCGGATTTAGCCGATTTATTTATTTAATAACTGATTATATAACACTCCGCCACTTAAGACGCACTCTGGCACGAGCTGATCGTCCGCAACAGCAGTAAGTAACATTTCTGTGGAAAAATAACATTCATGTTGTTGTGCCTGCGGGGGGTGGGTGGGGGTGTGTGTGCGTGTCTTTGTTTTGGGATCGGGTACAATGTCTTCTTTGCACGCCTGGTGGAAAAACCGCTAAATCACAAGGACAGGTTATTTATTTATATCTGAATGTACGCAGGATTGATCGGTGTCACATTTCCTCCATATTATGATCCACGCTGGTGTCATGAACGCACCACGCTATTGTCCAATTCTTCTCTCATTAGCACTGACTGCTGTTTCAGCCTTTAATTCATTTGGGCAGTTTTATTAAGGCTGGCAATGTGATTTCCTTACGTTTCGTTATTGGATGTAGTAAAACAAGGTGAAAGCGAGTGAAATACGGGATTGTATGCGTGAGTACAGCTCTCGAAAATCAGCACAAAATTCACAGAGAATCCCTTTTTGTTCATTTTGTTGGATAGTATTGGGGTGTCAATGGGATGTCATTACGTTTCGCTGGTGTAAGACAATATGTAAAGCGAGTGAAATACGGGATGTTTTGCATAGTGTGTGAACACAGATGTCGAAACTCAATACACAATTCACACACTGCTTTTTTAAATTGATTTTGTCAATTGTATTGGTGTTGTCAATGTTATTTCCTTAAGTTTTGCTATTTGCTAAAATGAAACAAGAGCAAAAGCGAGGTAAATATGGGATTTTTAGCATCCAAACTGAACGCAATTTACGTTTTTTATTATCATATTCAGTTTTATTAAGGGTGTCAAAATAATTTATTTACGTTTTGCTATAAAAAGAAGGCAAAGGCAAGTGAAATAAGGGATTGTGTCAACACACAATTCACACACACTGCCTTTTCATGACCATGGGACCGGAAACAGATTTGTGCCTGACCCGGGCCAGAGGAGACATGACCCTCTTTAGATCTATGGCTTCATTTCTGCTCATCCAGATGGTTTCCTGCTGTGTGAAAAAACTAGAGTAAACTGTCAGTGTTTGAGTCCATTATAAAATATATTGTAGTATATCATCAATAATGTGTGCGTATGCTTCTGTGTGTGTGCAACATAGAGGCTTTATTATATCATGCGTGTGTACTTCCGTTTGAGTAGGATATGTTGTTCACTTGGGGAAGTGGCGCTGACATCACGCACTCGAGACGGCGTGCTGCAGCTGCTCTGACGTCACGCCGTGCCTGCATCACTATCATCACAGGCGACATGAGGGGATGTAAAAAAGAAACACACGCACGTATAGCACGACACAGTGGGTGTTTCTCAATGTCGAGGACGCTTCCTTGGTAGGACATGTCTTGGTAGAATTCCAAGGAGCCTGGACATTGGAACAGTCCTTCGGCAGGACTCGATGACGTAGCATCCTTGAAATAGTGGCTCTGGAGCATCCTTCCCTGACATTGAGAAATACCCAGTGTTTGTGTTGAGGGGGAGGGGGGGGGGTTGTGTTAGAGAGGGGGAGGGGGGGGGGGGCAGTGTGTGGAGAAACGAGTCTGAGGTGTATTGAAGGTCACCTGATAAACAGGAATGTGTTGTGAGTGTTAAATATGGGAGGCAGTGTCTATAGCTCTTAAACATGTGTGGAGGTGTAGAGAAACACTCAAACCCACACTTATAGTTTCATGCTTTTAAAGAGATATACAAATTGTAAATCAGTTGGATTATTACGACCCAACCAACACACTATCTATTAATGTATAGGCTGTAACATTTAGGGATGTAGTTGATATTACAAGTGCAAATATCATGTACCAATTTGTTATTGTGTGCAGATATCTTTCTTTTAAAGTGTCAAAACAAATACATTTCTATTTTAGGAAATGTTGAGCAATGGCCTAGATAGATGACTTTCATAACTAAAACAAACGGATCAAACCGTAACTCTGATGTGCACTGAATAGCATACACTGCATTGATTCTTCCCTGCATACACTGAAGAGTATGGATGCAGATATGAAAATGAAACCTCCACATGTATTATTAATATACCGTGCGGTGAGTTGCTTTAGAGATAAACCTGTAGTATTATGATCACGGGGATTGCAGTGCTTTGGATAGCAGGACAACTCAAAGGCTTCAGGTTCAATATAGAACATGTATGTTTCTTTATATTTGATTAAGCTGGATTAAAGGGGCAATCCATGCAGTCATTATACTTCCCAAGGTCAATTTACCTTTCATTAGGACTAATCTGGTGAAACATGTTGTGTAATGTCTTCAGCTGATCTTTTTTGTCATGTCATAAACCTGATGGTGTCTCTGGGCTTGGAGACAACACATTTTGAAAAATAGATGGGGCTGGGTTACAAACTGGAGGTGTAAAATGTATTAAAAGGTGTAATGATGCAATTGAGTTGCATTGTGGGTAGTGTAGGATCCACTGCTTTTGGACCCATCTTGTGATACTCAGGATATGATGACCTCTGCTGCATTGATTTCACTTATAATCTGTTCACGGTTAATCTTGCATACTACTAAAACCATCAGCTTAATGTTCCCTTGCACATTTAGGACGGTTTGCTCAAGGGCGTCTCATGGTTGCAGTGATTCCAAAACATTTTACAAGCTATTTTGTTGGACTGTTTCAAACTGTAGACTCCTTATTCCTCTCAATTGATCAACAACCACTTTAGTAGTTAGTATGTGTCCTGTTGCAGGGCATGTGTTGGCCTTTGTTGGGCTCAAAAACTGACATCCATAGAAATGTTTGGCATCACTCTGAACTAGGGCTGCTCGATTATGGCAAAAATCATAATATCGATTATTTGGGTCAATAATTGATATCACGATTATTAAAAAACGATTATCCATTTACTTTGAAAACATCAATTTATTGGAGAAAAAAATGTGAAAAGTATGTTTTTAACAGTTGATTACCCTGAACTTTAAGTTTAATTCAACTGAAAAACCAATAAAAAAAAAAAAAGTAATAATAATTTATTTCGATTACGTTGTTTTCGTAATCGTTGCAAGCCCATAATCGTAATTGCGATTAAAATACGATTAATTGAGCAGCCCTACTCTGAACTGGAACATCTGCCGAATAATGACACATGCTAGTTTGTGATCCACTAAAGTTAGTGATGATAGCAGATGATAAAATACATGTTTTAATTATCTATATTTATTCATCCTGAAGGAAATTGTTGTGCCCGATAAATTCTTAGACACAAGGAAAGAACATTGAAAAGGCACTCACAGGTCTCTCAGTTATGTGTCTGCTTGATTATGAGTTGAATTCCTGGCTGGATGACACCCATCCCTCATCTCCCCCTCCATCACCTCTAAAGCCAACTGACACCTCTCTGATCTCCCCCTCCATCACCTCTAAAGCCACATGACACCTCTCTGATCTCCCCCTCCTCACCCTGTGGTCTCCCTCCTCCTGACAGACCTGAAGCGACAGCGCTGACCTGGATAACTCTGGACCTGAAGCAGAAGACAGACGACACAGTCAGCAGAACAGCCTCCCTCTTCCTCCCTCGTCCTCCTCACCCCTGTCTGTTGTGACATGGCGGACCCCAGCCTCACGTCGCCCTCCAGGACCCCGCTGCGCTCCCCCAACGCCTCCCTCACCCTCTCCTTCCCCTTCCTGAGAGAGAGGAGCCGGGTGTGGGAGGACGGGAAAGATCACCCGCTGCCTCGAGATCTACCGAGCCCGCTGCCGACCAAACGCAACCGCACCTACTCAGCGTGAGTTTGTTATTATTTACTATAAACAATAACCGCAATAAACCGGATTGAATTTTGTCTTAATCTACAGTATTCATTTCATATCCTGTTCTTGTACATATCATATTCTATTGACATGTATATAGACTTTTTAAACTACTTTTTATTTTGTATTTTTGTATTTTATTATATATGTTGCGTTGTTGGAGGAGCTCAGGTCAGAAGAATGCCATTGCCATTTCTACGCTGTAGCTTTGTGCATATGACGATAAAACCTTTGAATCTTTTGAACTTCAAAAAAAATGAGTGTGTGGTGATAAAAACATCCAAACACACACGTTGGATTTTTTCCATTTTATGCTACTTTTAAACGTTATCACATCACAGATACAAATGTTGTTTTTATTCCATTTCATGTATCAGTACTATTTCTTATATTGCAACACTTGTAAAACAGTTTTTGATAAGTAACTAAAGCAGGGGGGTCAAACTCAAATACACAGTGGGCCAAAATAAATAAATGGGTGCTACTCGAGGGCCGGACTGGTTCATGTTATTGCTAAACTTATTGAAATGAACTTATTGCACATATTAAACCTGGGACTAACAAAGCTTAAATTATTGCCTATAAAAACAACATTAAACATTAAATAATCAGTTGCATTCATTTCTTATGGCTCTATCTGCAGCTTCTCCAGAGTCATTTCTTATGATCACATTTTCCCACAGGCCAACAACAGCTTCAATAAAACTATTTCCCTCAAAGAGAAAACCAAACATGCCCTGTTGTTGTGAGAGAAAGTGCGGAAGGAAACATCCATGTAAACTCAGTGTGCTGCTCTGTTATGCTAGCTCAGATACTTGGCATCTCATCTTGGGTGCAAGGTCATCAATGTTTGGGGTCAGGCTCTGAGCTGAGGAGACCCTCAGGATGGAGTGAAGGTGTGCGTGCAATATACCGGCGGGCCAGATCTAATAGAAATAACAAATTATCCTTCGGGCTGAAATTAAATCCACCAAGGGCCTGATTTGGCCCCCGGGCCTTGAGTTTGACACATGTGACCTAAAGGATATTTTATTAACTAAATCATTATAGGTAAGTTCCTACTATCGGTTTAAAATATATTGCAAATATTGAGACATAAACATAAAAATACGTTAAGAAACATGGAAGAAGAAAAACAGGTTTTTATCTGTTGATTTTCCTTCTTTATGAATCCTTCTCTTTGTGCATCCTTCTACATTTCTCTGCCATGAATGATCTGACACAAAAGAGAAAATATGTTGTTGTAAACGTCTCCTTCACGTCCTACTGAAACAATAACAACATTCAGTCGTACTGGGTGGGATTAAACGAAATAACTGTTGTTTTTTTGTCTTTGGCTGCAGTACGGTACGCGCTCAATCAAGTCCGGTGTTTAAAGGCATCTGTAAGAACTTCTCCAGGTCACAAGGTCACGGCTTCCTGCGACCCTCCCACGGCGGAGAGGACATCTTTGTTCACATCTCAGAGTGAGTAGCAAAACACATCTTTAAACACAAAACAAATCAGAATCAGGAACATTTGTTTCTCCCACAGTGGGGACATTTTTACAATAAGAAACAACTGCAGATAAAAGGCAAAAAGTGCATGAATAAATGAATAAAGGAAATAATTAAATGTGGAAAATTCTATTATATAAATGTACTGTAGTATAGGAAAAATACAAGAAAATAAATAGAACAACAAATAAAAATGTACAAGAAACATTAACATAAAAATATAAAATAATATATAATACATATTTTTTGTATTATTCCAAAACAATTTGAGGGGAAATCTACATTGTTACAGCAAAGGGGGCAGTGCAAAACTAAAATGAGCAGACCAACATCATAAATAAAGACACAAGCACTCCAAAACATCAACACATCCATTGTAAAATATAATGTAAGTGCATCAGTCTGAAAAGGTAAGTGAACACATAACAGTACTGAAGGGGCAGCAGTTATAACTTTAGTTCAATCAGGAGAGACGGTTTTGATGTAAGAATAGATATTTATTGCAGAGATTCACAAATTAATGTAGCCTAATGGTGATTTTGGCGATTAGGCCCCGTTGTGCAGGAAGTATCATTCGGGAGGGGAGAACCGATCCGATGAAGCCCCCCGGGGTCTAGACACTGTTGGTGGTGAATGGATAGTTGGGGTCGGTCTGAAGGGGAGGGGCTTAGCTTGACCCTGGTGGTGGTGAATGGATGGTTGGGGTCGCTCTGAAGGGGAGGGGCTTAGCTTGACCCTGGTGGTGGTGAATGGATAGTTGGGGTCGGTCTGAAGGGGAGGGGCTTAGCTTGACCGTGGTGGTGGTGAATGGATAGTTGGGGTCGGTCTGAAGGGGAGGGGCTTAGCTTGACCCTGGTGGTGGTGAATGGGTAGTTGGGGTTGGTCTGAAGGGGAGGGGCTTAGCTTGACCCTGGTGGTGGTGAATGGATAGTTGGGGTCGGTCTGAAGGGGAGGGGCTTAGCTTGACCCTGGTGGTGGTGAATGGATGGTTGGGGTCGGTCTGAAGGGGAGGGGCTTAGCTTGACCCTGGTGGTGGTGAATGGATAGTTGGGGTCGGTCTGAAGGGGAGGGGCCTCAATCAATCAATCAATGTTTATTTATATAGCCCAATATCACAAATGTTACATTTGTCTCAGTGGACTTCACAGTTTGTACAGAATATCAGTATGACAATACGGCCTAGCTTGACCCTGGTGGTGGTGAATGGATGGTTGGGTCGGTCTGAAGGGGAGGGGCTTAGTTTGACCCTGGATTCAGAGGGACAGGAGGTGAAAAGGGGTGGAGGACGGTTGCGTAGAGTCACCTGAAATGACAGCTGTCAGAGGGGAGAGCAGATTTAAAGGGTTAAGATTGCAAATACTGACTTGAGCCAATGAGCCCCACCACTGTATGGGTTAGCCCTACCATAGATTACCCAACAAAAATACTCTGGCGCCGCCACTGCCTGCGGGAATACA